GAGATACACAAATACAGATACACACAGACATACACAGAGACACACGGAGACACACACACACAGTCACATAGACAATGTGAAAAACAAAAATAAAACAAAAACCGTATGGTTAGATCATAGACAAGAAAGCATTTATCCCTCTGGGGACACTTATGGAAGCTTTTGGGTATATTCAAAGCAGTTTTTGCTTCAAACCCAGATGAAGCTAACCTGATCCAAATGTGAGAACCAGAGGGAGTCACCAGTTAGGGTATCGCCCTCACACAAACACCCAGGCATAGAATAACCCGCACTGGGGAGCCCCCGGGAGACACCCCGGGGGACTGTCTCATGCTGTATGTTTGTTAAAAACAACTGACACTTAACACGCACTGCTCAGTGTCTAAACCCATTGTTATTCGGAAAGAGGGGTTTACTCTGATAGCTATGATTGCATAATGAAAAAGGAAGAGAACCAGCGGACATTAAAATAGGGAGTCATTTGAGAGCGCAGCTCCATTTTCTGAGAGAAGTTTCAGAGACAAAGGTTAAAAATAGATCCTGAGAAGCAAACGATAGGTGAAAAAAAAAACACCCCAAAAAACCCTACATCTGCAGTCTAGAGACTGATTACAGTAGAAAGAGGACACTCTTAACCTAATTGTGCCGCACGAACCGTAATTAGGATAAGAGAAACGTGGAGTGCTATCGTTTCAAGGACAGCTAGGTCTGCGTGAGGTTTCAAAGTGGAGATGTTAACCTGCACCAGCATCATGTTGAGAGACTCAGTCGTCCTGAGGCTGATGGACCGCATAGCGTGAGGTTGAAGGAGTACTTCTGTTAGCTGGCCTCCCTCTGAGTACCTGACCCTCCACTCAGGTGCCCAGTATCTCGCCCACATGAAGTGTTTTCTTTTGCTGGGCTCCATTTCATCTGGTTTTGTTCCATGGCCTCCAGCAAAGATTGCCTGGCAACTCTAGACAGATCCTTTAAGCCAGACCCTTTAAGACCTGAACTCACAAAGAAGCTATTTCTTAATACTTCAAAATATATTGAATGAAACTTATAACTGCAAATTTACACGATTTTGCCTTACGTTATGTGACTGTGTCCTCTGAGCCTGTGGCTTACGGAAAATGACTTTGCTTAGCAACCCACGGTCAGGTCCAAAAGAAACTGGCTCCCTGTGGTGCTTATTAGCATACCAAAGTGCATCTTGGCTTCTAGGTTCCCTCAGCATCTTAACTACCTGTTACAGAGTCCACACTGGCTTCCTGGCTCCTCTTAGCTCCTCTCATTCCATCCTGTCCCCTAAACTTCACCTCACAGGTTTCCCTTCCCCTTTTCATATCTACAGAACCCTGCCAGTTTGACCATACACTCTTTTTGTTCTCTGTTTCTTGGCCCTCTCTTCTCTTTGCTTTCTCTCTCCTCTTCCTCTCTTGCTCCCCCGTTCACCATGACTCAGCTTAGCCTGCTATTAATATTTAGTCTATTATGTTCTCTCCCTGCTCTGGACTCTTGCAGACACCTCTGGCTGTAGTGTCCCTCATATCTAGAATGAAAACTTGCCCTTCATCGTGCCTTGGAGCAGTCATGTCCTCACTTCATATGTCTGGTGCTGAAACCCTCACTTTATACACCTCTGTCCTGTGGAGATTGAAGGGAGGGAGAGTCGGTTTGCTTCAACTGTTGAAACTAGGAGTTTCTCTTATGTCTATTAAGGGAGTAACTCAGGGTGTGGGATGAGGCTGTAAATGCCTGGTATGCAGAAAGCAACTTGGCCAACAGCTCTGAGTTCATTTTATCAGTGTGAAAATTTAGACTTGATGGCAACGAAATGTGCAACCAACTGGCTGTTGGCCACGGGTGCTTAATCTCTCAGTGCTTTTGAGTCTTCATTTGTCTAATGAGGATACAGGAACTGTCTGCCCATCTGGGCGAACTTTGAGGATGTGAAAGACAATATTTGTGATATGTTCTTGGCATTCAAAGTCCACGATGCTATTGCTAGCCTTATCTCATCCTGTCTTGTACTCCTTCCCTAAACAAACTCTTTGCTTCATGTCAGCTGACAGGTGGGACATCTCACATGTGCCAAGCTGTTGCTCATCTCATTTCCCCCCTACGGAATCCTAGTTCACATTCTTCTGCTGGTCCAGTGACTTTGAAAACCTGGACAAATCCCTAGACTTCCTGTCACCTCCCCGAACTATCTCAGCTCTTAGAACAATGTCTCTTCCCTGTCAAATCTTTTGTATTTTAAATATGTTTTGTTGGTATATATTTATTTTCACAGAATAGTGAGTTTCTTACAAACACACACACACACACACACACACACACACACACGCATAGTACTTGAATCATTCACTTCTCATTAACCTCTCTTCTCTCTCCTTCTCATCTATATTAGTCCCTTTCCTCATCCCAAATAGTTCCTTTTCTTTCATGCTTTGAAAAAAAAGTTAGATTTGTGTATAAGAGAAAACGTAGTAGTTGTGTTCCTGCGGCTGGCTTATCCTGTGTGGCATAGTGTTTTCCCGGTTTCACCCACCCACTGTTCTCCAAATGTCGGTATTTCATTCTATCGTGTGTATAGGCCATATTTTCACTATTCATTCGTCTGAGGGTAGACATCTAGGTTGATCCCACAGCTTAGCTATTATAAATGCTCCTGTCTCCCCACTGTATGATGACTACGATTCCTTGGGTTTCCCCAGTAGTGCAGCGGGATCATTTGATGCCTCTAGTTTGGATATTATTTATTTCTACAGTGGCTGGGATAGTTTATGTTGCTACCCACAGGGCACAGGTTACCCCCATGACTCCTCTGAGCTCCTCATGCACCTCATAAGCACTTAGCTTAGCTCCTTAGATGTTTAATTTTATGTATAAAACATAATGTTACGAATTTTACTTCCTACTGATTCTGCTTCTTTTTCACAAATTTCTTCAGCTAGACTTTGCCATGAGTCTGGAAGGATGCCTCCTTCCGGAAGAAGGCTGCGGGGCTAGAAATTCCTTCCTGGAAAGGGGAAACTTGAAAGACTATGTCCTGGGTGGAAGAGGCAAAAAGGGAGACAAAGTTCAGATACAGAACACCCCTCCCCAGCTCTACACTAGCAGGCCAGTGTGTTGGTTGTGTTACATTTTCCCCCTCTTCTAATCACACAACTTGAATATAAAAATATTCTGCCTCCTAGCAATGGTGAAGAACCAACTTAGGCATGGTTTTACTCCCTTGGTTGATTTTACTTTTGAGCGTCGGGGAGAATGTGGTGAAGGATTCCAATCCAGCCAACTACCATTGTTCTCCAAAACACAGATGATGTTGGGAGGCAGGTGTCTCCCTGACAGCTAAAATAAAAAAATCACATCTAAATAGTTTTTTTCCTGAAAATGTTTCTTCTGAGCTCTGACTTTCTATCCAAGTCCCTCTCAGGTCGTTCGGTGCATCTGCTGTGTTTGGAAGGCTCAGCTTTTTATGGTAACTTCTAGAAGTGCACACTCCCTCTGCTGTGCGTCTCACAGGCAAACACCTCCCTCACCGTCGGCTGGC